GCGAAAGAGGTATGTAGGAATCGGAGTAATTAGCGTTCCATAGACTCTGCCTACCCCACCTCTTTTATCGTTTACATACATAACTTCACGTCTTTTATCCACGAAGGGGTAGGCAGAGGTGCACATTACGGCCCTTAATGCCATAGGCGCGAGCCTATTGCCAAATACCGGGCACAATTCCAGTCTCCGTGCTACTACTGAGATTTTTTTAATAACCTAGTAAGTAAAAAAACAAAAATACATGTACCTATATATTCCTCTACCAATGTCTCAGTAGACTCATATAGCCAACTAAGGTTACAACTCAAAACCAACCCGTCCCTTTGATATCCCTTCAGCCGAAGTAGTATATCTCCTTCAACTGAAGGGATTCACATCATCATAGTCTAGTACAGGGGAAAAGCGTAACCCTGACAATGGCGTGTTAAAAAATGTATCTCAAAGGGATGAGAAGGGTCGCATCGATCCACGCCACCCCCTGTCTGTCGCCTGTCTGGCTGTCTGATGACTATTTTATACCCCTGAAACCGATAGGGTTGACAGTAACTAAATCTTTAGTAAACATACTCTAGGCCTATGTTCCATCGATATCTTCAACCATATTTTTTTAGTTAAGACATTGTAATAATTTGTATGTTTCATTGTTATAAAATGTCATTACCATCATCAAACTCAAAAGCATTTATTTCAATTAAACCATAATTTAGTACTTTTGAAACGTCAACAAATATGAAATGAATAATAGGCTGTCAGTTTGTCCGTCAGTGAAGCTAGGCGCTCGTTCCAAAATGTCGATTCGAGTGGAGAAGAACGAGCAAGAAACTCCATATCAATTCGGAAATTGACAGAGTTATTGAATCCTAAACCTACTAGGTTTCAGCTATCCACCACTTCATGTTGCCATCACAAAGAATACAGTTGACTACGCAAATATGACACTCAATTATGAAAGTCAACTTAAAGACTATAGGTAAAATAAAATACAATAAATGTCTTAAAAAAACCAAACTAAGTAAAATCTATTTCAATAAACACGCAAAACTCAATCAAGCACTAGTAACTAGTGAAATTATAACAGATCCCGGTGTCATATTACAGTGGCAACCCTACCGCCAGATGGAAAGCTCTAGATAGAAAGCCGACACCCGATATCTGAGCAATGATACTCGAGATCTATCGAGCGATATGATATTAATATTAGTACTTGTGTTTACTTGGTTTACACATTCTTGTTCATATATGTATATGTATGTTCCGTTGTGTGATGACTACATAGTGAAATACAGAGTAAATACATTCGCCATTCGCCACCACCCCTGCTTCTCATAGTAGAGGAGCCCATGAAGGGATTTAGATAGTTACTTGAGTGTCAGATTAACATATGAAGAATACCTAGTGTCGTGTTGAATACCCACCATATACCCGATTTGCTTAGAAGGGGGATTAATAAAAAACTCTGACTAAATAAAGTCAGTTTCGTCAGATAATGGGAAGAGAGGTGGACTCTTAAGAGTAAAAGCTAAGCTCATTTACTCTTAAGAGCTTGATTTTTAAGAGTGGGGACTTTGAAGGGTTCTCGTTTGTACCCTACTGAACATTCAACCCCACTATGCAAAGTGGCAGATAAAAAGTTTTTCATTATCAGAGACACATAGAGAATGAGAGACAGAATGATAAAATAATTAAAAATGTTATTCATGTGCATGTAGTAAGAAGCAGTTATTTCAATTTTACAAACAGACAATCTAATATTATTTTATCTGTATAGTCAAAGTCAAAATCATTTATTTCAATTAGACCAGAAAGGCACTTTTGAACGTCAGCAATAGAAATTTAAAATTGAAGCTATTTACTCATTCCAAGGTGTAGATTCCTATGGAAAAGAACGAGCAAGAAACTTCATAGGTTACTTTTTTCGAATCAGTATAGACGATGATGACTAAGAGCTTGATTTGTATAGCTACCAAAAAATATTTTAAATCTTTACATTAACTTTATTTCGACATAAAAATCCCATTTCTTGTTTTACCAGATCTCACTCATTAAACCAACCATTATACTAACTCGACTATTAAGTGTGGTAATATCATTACTTACCTTGGCGCAGTCGGGTAACAGTAGTGTTGTAATTACATGATTTATGGTAAACTATGGTGTTCACACGGTGGCGTGGGCTTTTTGCTTATTGTGAGAAAGAAAGTTAATGGTTTTTTGTGTGTAACTGTGAGGTGTTTTGTGGTTGAAAGGACTCAATTTATAGATTGCTAAGCCGTAGATAGCTATGGCCTATAGAGGGTTTGAGATTATACTGTATGCAAATCACAGTAGATTTATATTTTTAGCGTATCAGCCTTACCCTTTGGGCAGTACCGTCTTTACCATAAGAGCACTCGAGGCCTGTGCCCCATCCTCAGGGGCCCCGAAGGACCGACAATTCCTAAGACGCACGCGCTACACGATGCGCGACAACCGGCTGTCCCGCAACATGTAGCGGATCCGATTCCCGCACGGAGCCAATCTTTGTGTGATCCACAAATTGTTGTTTCGGGTTTGGGTGTCATGTGTATGTGAACTTTTGTGATGCAACCACGATACGGGAGAGAATCCTAGTGTGGGGCAACGTAAAAAAAGAAGCATTCCAAAAGGATATATTGTGTGCTCATGGGCCCCCCTGCGTACTCTAAGACGGCTCTGCCTTTGGGCATTATATTATGAAGTAGCAGAGACATTACTCTAATACAATTTCTCGTGACAATGGGCCTGTCACATTCGTCGAAGAACCGATAACCGCTGGGGTAAACAAGTTCTAGAGTGGAGACCGCATCTAGGCAAACGCAGTGTAGGGCGCCCTCCAGCTGGTGGAGTGACGACATCCGCAAGGTGGCTGGCAGTGGTTGGATGAGAAGAGCTGAAGACCTGAAGAGCTCAGTAACGTGCCTTTGGAGAGGCCTATGTCCAGCTGTGGACGAATACAGGCTGATGATGATGATAAATTTCTCGTGACATACAAAATCGTAAATATTGACTTAACATAGTTTCCAGGTTCCAATATAATATTGATATCACCAATGTAGGTAATATTGATATTCTCACGTTAGCGTCCACATGTGACAAATGAAGTACACTTCATAATTAATGTTATCTATAATAGTATTGTCCTTTCCTTCTTCTTTATCAACCATCATGCAGCTTCGGGCCGTGACGTTATACATTCGTAGACATCTCAGTCTTTCTCTTTTCTGCAGGAATGTTAGATAGGTAATAGTCTCTTAAGACTTTCCTACTCTCCAAGAAGCTTGTAATGACACAAGCCTAATTTAGATTTTTTATCTTCGCCTTCTATCCTCGGAAGTGGTAAGCAGAGGTGCATATTACGCCACTTAATGCCACTGTACAATGTAACATCCACATTTTACTATCTGTTATGAATAAGGGGTAAGCCTATTACCAAATACCGGGCACAATTCCTGACTACTACTGAGATTTTTTTTACATCTCAGTAATACTTTGCCCGACCCGGGAATCGAACCCGAGACCCCTTGCCCGGTCGTCGCAGTTGGGAGCACTCGGCCAATGAGGCAGTCTTTTTTCAAGCTGTCTTTATTCATCCAAACATTTGTGCGGTTATGAAGTAAATTGTACTCATAGTGTCAAATACGTTATTCTGCTGATCCTACTAATATAAAATTCAAAAGTTTGTGATGAAAACGGCTGAAAAGATCGGGATGAAATTCGGAACAGGGGTAGATCATAGTTTTTTTTATATATATAATTTTTTAAGGGAAGAAAACCATCGAATGATTTTACGGAGGGAGTGTCAGACTCTTACTGATTAAAACTTACCCCGGCAATCCGTCAAGTCCTCCACAGCACCGTATCGGCATGAGCCCTATTGGGCCCCATCTATGGTGGTCTGATGGCTCTTTGAGGTGCGCGCGGAACGCGACGCGCCGTACGTTTTGTCTGGTTCTGGTCGGGCGGCGAGCTACCTATGCTCGCCGTCCGCAGGCCCGTGCTTACGTTGGCCGGAGATCGTCACGCGATCCCCGACGCCCGGAGTGTCCTTCGCCAAGGCTGGGTTGTGAGGTGCGTCCTCCTTAGTTAGCATGACCGCTTCGATTATGGTCGATATCAATACTAGATTATGGTCCGAAATAAGACAAGCATTTTTATTACATGGGAATGCGGGCGAAGTCCTTGGCAGAAACTAATTCATTATAAATCCCAACTTTACTTTGCCCAAATGTCAAAAACTTGTGCGTAGTCTATCAGTCACACAATCGGTTGTGACGTAACAGTTTGTTATATAGTGTATTGATTGCACAATATACACTATTAGGTACCTATCTCGATTGTTAGGGCATACATAATTACTATCAATAAACACGTGTACGTATTTCTATTGTTTTTGTCAACACAACAACTCATCAGACAAACTATTAATATTTACCTAATATAATACAATATTATGTATGTATGTATAACCCAACACGTTACTCTTATGAGTTAATAATCATAATATAACAAGACAGAAGTGCTTACTCCTTTGTAGATTAAATAGTTTGATGTTAACTGAAATTACCGGTTTACTCATTAATAAATATACTGACAAAAGCTCTACTAGTTCGAGTCATATTTTGTAACATAACATAACATCATGCCTTTTATCCCCGAATAGGTAGGCAGAGTTGCACATTATACCACTGTACAATGTAACACCCACTTTTCACTATTTATGTTATGAGTCCCATGTAATAGGGGGTGGGCCTTTTGCCATATACCGGGCACAATTCCAGACTCCGTGTTACTACTGAGAATTTTTTTAAAAACCCAGTCATATTTTGCCCGACCCGGGAATTGAACCCGAGACCCCTTGCCCAACAGTCGCACTTGCGACCACTCGGCCAACGAGGCAGTCATATTTTTTCAGTCATGCCATATTTTGTATTACATGTTTAGGTATATATTGTTTACTAATGTTTGCTTTATTTTTGTTGCAGGTATGTTGACGCCAGCTGTTTAGAAATCGCTCGCGTTTAGAAGTTCGCTAATCGGTAAACTCTTTTTCCACTATAAGTATTAAAAATGTTCTTATATGGATCTCATGATATTAGTATTAAACACGTTATGCATTATTGGCACAAGATCCTTAGGAAACTACTTCAGAGCAAGACATTTCTTAACGTCAAACTAATCAACCTAATGTTTTGTCGGTAACGAAATCATAGCTTGCATTTCAGCCAACGCCATCTATCGAGCTATGGGACAACTCTTAATAAATTATTTTTAAAAATAGTAGTATGGCGTTGGACGATCTTCTCTTCATCATTTACAAAGATTATTTTCTACCTTGAACAGACAATGGTATTACCAATCTCAGTAGTCACCAGAGACTAGAAATAGGGATATAAATAATGTGCCAAGTTTTAGAGTACCAATGAAACTAGTAATAAATAATCTTGTAATAAAATAACAAGTACAAAAACACCATCCACCTGTTACTCAACATTGAATACATATAAAAACAATATCAATTACAAAACCAATAAGATATGCATCTATCCACGACACTAATACAAAACCATTGGACACAATCACGACTTCTTTAATAACAGTCTTACATGGAGTTAGTATAATTTATAACTAGACACGCCCCTATAGGAATGTTTGCAAGGACGTGGACTAGAATGTCCGTAATGTGTTTAGATTGAGCGTAGTTGTAGCTTCGTGGTATGGTGCCACATCTAGGATTAAGTTGAAAGTAGGAACTGGTGGCTTGTGCTACTGATATGCTAACGATGACGATGAAGAAAGTCAATGGAGCCGTTATTCAATAGCAAATAAAGCTTTACTATTTTTTTTTTAAGGGAAATTCATCGAATGACTGCTCCCGCCTGGGTGAGGCGGGAGGGAGTGTCAGACTCTTACTGACTAAAAACCACCCCGTTCCTTCTCCTGCACGTCGAGTCGGAGCCCCGGTTACCCGTTAGGTTCTCCTAGAGTATCTCCGTTACTACGTGTGTGTACTGAGATCAATTTCCAGAGCCGAAAAAGAGTACCTACTATAATCCCATTGACCTAGTAGAGAAAAGAACCTATATATTGTTATTATCAACATTGGTCGAATTAGGATCTCAATGTTCGAGCCGCGGAAGACTTAACGGGTTACCGGGTCTCCGGCTCGAAGGGCAGTAGTAGGAACGGGGTGGTTTTTAGTTAATTATGTCTGACACTCCCTCCCGCCTTACCCAGGCGGGAGCAGTCATTTAATGATATTCCCCCCTTAAAAAAATTTATCGATGTTGCTGTGATCAAGCGTAGCCATAATGAAAACGTTAACAATCTGCTCAATATTATTGATAACCAACAAGATTTAGTGTTTCATAAAACCCCAATTAAAAGGAACTTTCTCAATCTTTAATCAAATCCAAGTTATAACTGTATCCGAGAAACTAATATAAGATATCCTATACAATAATTGACACAATAACAAAAGTTACGACAGTGAAATAATTACGGCGTACAGCAGATGCTTAGGTACATTTACCGTTATAGATAATCTAGAATAATTCCTAGGTATCTACTAATCTAGGTATTAAGTGCTGTGATAAATCATAAAGGTAGCACACGTCACATTATGCCCACTTATGCTTGCATTACTTGGTATAATTGTAGGCAATCATTCTTGAAGTTTTTGATTGAGTTTACTTTGTGGCAATTGAAGCCGGCAATGTTCATTTACATAAACCTAACCATTAAAAAAAGTATTTACTTCTCAGTCATATTAATACACACTTTTAAGTTACAGATTAAAAAAAATACGAAACGGTGATCATGTAAAACTAAAAATTCTATTGATTACGTTATACATTGTGTTACGAACAATATGCCCTTAATTTCTATTTATACACAAAATTATTTGCAAAACCAATATCGAAATCTGTGCCCTAAATTACGTAACCGATAAGGTCGAGAATTCCCAGAAAATAATTCTCGGCTCAGCCCCAGATACATGCGATAACGATTAATTAACAAAGAATTTATTTTATTTATTATCAGAAATATGTTTGGAAAAGGCTCGTTATGTAAATATAGGAAAATACGAAGGAATTTAATCCAGTTCTAGAACCGAATTCTATTAATTTACACATCTATTAAAGATACAGTTAAAGATATGTTCATAAATTAGCATTTTGCGAGACTAATCCTATGTGCCAAACTTTTATTATTAGTTTCCGGTAATATAATATTGTATGTCACACGATCCCAACAGTTTTAGGTTACCAAATCCGCCCAATAAATTCATAATAATTCTTCTCCAATGATAATTATGTAGACATAACCTTCGTTAAATATGTTAATCGCTTTAACTTGAGACAGAAGCTATCTAAAGTCAGTTATAAAGATTATTAATTAGTTGTTATGAATACTCATATCCATAGAAATCTTGTTTGTTATAATCTAATATTGAATTAGTTAATTAAATTGAGAGAAATCAAATCTCACCTCGTAGATTGTGAGTTTAAAAAAAAATGTTGTCATTACCTGAGCGTGTGACGTCACGACGCCTTATGATTGGGTGTCGAGTGCGCGGCTCAGCGAAAGTACAAGCGGTCAGAGGTGCCCAACAATTGTCACTCGTCACGGTAGCCGCGTTAACTACCAACTGTGACGAGAATTTGATATGCCATTGTTTACAGGTTGTGGAGGTCACTAGTTTTTGTCCCGTTTCGCATGTCGGTGACAAAATTATCATAATAAAATATATTTAACTTTTTGTTAATAAATTCTGGTTTTTGTCGCTGCAATCGCTCGTATTTGCTTTTCGTAACTCCGTTTCTGTGTGCAATCCCTTTACAGTTTTTTGCAGTAGATAAGTACAAACTTTAATATGCTAACATATTTTATGCCAAGGAATAACGAGTCACTTAGTAGATCTAACTCTAATTATAACTGTTAGTAGTACATCGTAAACGTTACTTTTATGCAAATTAATTTTAATGTCCTTTAGCCAGTTAAGTCTGATAATCCCTTAATAAGGCGAACTTTACACAGATATCGCGATTGAAAATATTTTATTACTAATTACACGCTTCTTATGTTCGGTCTTAACTAATAAGTGGCTCCTTACCTGCATCTAATGAGTTGTCATAAAGATAAGAAAGTCGTAATGCGCATAAAATGTTCCGAGTGCCAAGTACGAATAACTATCGCATTCGTAACGTAACAGTATCGAGCGCGTTCGCCGCTCGGATTGGTTGGTTCATTGGAGCCGGCCAATCAACGCGCCGAACGAGTACCCGTTTCTATTACTTTAAACGAAAAACAAACTCGTACTAGGGCCTCTGAACAGCTGGAATTAAAAGGTATAAATATAAGTAATATATGTATTTATAAGAGGCAATCAAATGTATAAAAGCGTGCTTATAGATAATAATAATAATAATTCATTTAATGTCAGACACAGTCCATACAGGCAGAATAATAATAATTGATGAAGAAAATAACTAACAACAAAGCAATAAAATTTAAATAAAGGAATACAACAAAATATAAAAGTCACAAAACATAAAACCATTAATAAAACATAAAACTCAACAATGTCAAAATTAACAATAATTATAATCAAAACCATTGGAGAATCAGACACGATACCCGCCATGCGTGATTGGACCGTACAGAGATCGAGAGATTATCGACGTCTACAGCCCCAACGATATCCATCCATCTCCGCTGGATTGGGCAATCCGCACGTGAAGCAATCATCTTCAGGATGCCGTTGCTACTGCCCCTCACACGCATGAAAATAGAAGCGACTTTCTTCCGCATAATTGCATGAAAGCCATCAGTGCGCGCCTCCGCAAACATAGCAGAAGCACTGCAGTACCGAGGCAGCCGCAACAGCATCCTGAACACATTGTTGTACTGAACTCTAATGACATCCGCGGCCCGCCGAGTATGACTCACCCATAAGCTACTTGCGTAAAAAGATTGGCAGTATGCCTTAAACAGAAGTATTTTTACTTCCACCGAGCAACGCGCAAATCTCCGAACGATCATAATATTATCATAAGATAATGATTGATGCCCCTGATAATGATTTAGTCTAATACGGTAACTTTAATTAACAGTCAACATCATCAGCCCGTGTTCGTCCACGGCTGGATATAGGCCTCTCCAATGGCACGCCACTGTGCTCGGTCTTCAGCTCTTCACATCCAACCACTGCCAGCCACCTTGCGGATGTCGTCACTCCACCTAGCTGGAGGGCGCCCTACACTATTTTTACCTAAACGCGGTCTCTACTCTAGAACACATTTACCCCAAAGGTTATCGGTTCTTCGACAAATGTGACTGGTCCACTGCCACCTTAGCTTATTAATCCTTTGGGCTATGTCGATAACTTTGGTTCTCTATCGGATCTCTTTAATTAATATTAAAAAGCCTAAATCTTACTAATTTACAAGTCTAAATAAAGTTCTTAACACAAAAAAAATGGAAGTGTGAACCCTTTTCCTATAACAGAATACGGTTTTTAAGGTTAGTAAATAATCCTAAGGAGACGTTTGTAAGTCATCAAAAGTTTGTTATAGTCCATTTCTGGATCCATGGCCTTATAGGCCTCCTTTACATGTTCTTTATTTATAAGACGGTATGTTTTATACAGACTACAAAAAGAAAAAAACGATGTGCCTGTTCGACCTGTATGAATGTGTGTATGTTTGTGCGCAATTATCTCGCAATTAGCTTATTTTTCTATAGGTGTGGGAGAGCCATGCTTGGGCACGAATGGGCCGGCTCGACCGGAGTCATACCACGGCCTCACAGAAAACCGACGTGAAGCAACGCTTGCTTTCGTCGTGTGAGTGAGGTTACTGGAGGCCCAATTACTCTCCCCTTCCCCAATCTCCCCAATCCCTGAATACCCAACGATCCTCAAACTCCTAATCCCCAAATGGCCGGTAACGCACTTGTAACGCCTCTGGTGTTCCAGGTGTCCATGGGCGACGGTTTTTGGTATATTAATTAACCGACGTTAATATAACAAGGGTTTGAAATC